ATTTCCTTCCTCCAGTTATCTTTGTTCATACTTGCCTCCTTTATGCTATTTTTGTCAAATATACTACATTTCTAAATGTTGTAGGTTCAACAATACAATTATATACATATTATTTTATGCAGTTGCCTTTTACTTTTTCCTGAGGATTCAAGTTAATCTCTGGTGTCACTTTCTTTCAGCCTGAAGAACTTCCTTTAGTAATTTTTATATGGCAAATCTGCTAGCAATGAATTCTCTCAGTTTTGTTTCTTTGCTTGGAATATCTTTATTTCTCCTTCATATTTGATAGTTTTTCTGCATATAATATTCTTGGTTGACAGATTTTTTTCTTTCAGCATTTGAATGTGTCATCCGACTGGCTTCTGGCCTCCATTATTTCTGATAAACAGTCAGGTATTAATTTTATTGGAGTTTCCTTGTACTTGTATTAGTAATTTTCCTCTGGCTGCTTTCATGATTTTCTCTGTGTCTCTCAACACCTTGACTATGATGTGTCTGGGTGTGGATCTCTACAGTTATCCTAGTTGGAGTTCATTGAGTTTCTTGGATGTGTAGATTAACTTTTTTTTTTTAATCAAATTTTGGACATCTTCAACCATTATTTCTTTGAATATTTTTCTGCTCCTTCCTTTCTCTCCTCTCTGGTACTGCCATTATGTGTATTTTAGTGTGCATAATGGTGTTTCTTGGAGCCCTGGTGGCACAGTGGTGAAGAGCTCAGCTGCTAACCAAAAGGTTGACAGTTCAAATCCATCAGCTGCTCCTTGGAAACCCTATGGGGCAGTTCTACTCTGTCCTATAGGGTCGCTATGAGTCGAAATTGACTCGACGGCAACAGGTTTGATTTTTTGGTTTAATGGTGTTCCTGGGTGGCTCAAATAGTTAAGTGCTTGACTACTGGCTGAAAGGTTGGTAGTTCAAACACATCCAGAGCCACCTTGGAAGACAGGCCTGGTGTTCTGCTCCTGAAAGGTCACATCCTTGAAAACCCTACAGAGCAATTCTACTCTGCACCATGAAGTCCCATGAGTTGGAATCTACTTGACAGCAACTAATAACACAACAACGATGATGCACATTTCTCAGAGGCTTTGTTCATTTTTATACTTTTTTTTCTCTTTGCTCTTTGTAATATCTATTGACCTATCTTCAAGTTCATTGATTCTTTCTTCTGCCAGCTTAAATCTACTGTTAATTCCCTCTAGTGAATTTTTATTTCAGTTTTTGAAACTTTCAACTCCAGAATTTCTGTTTGGTGCTTTTTTAATAATTCCTATCTCTTTGCTAATATTCTCTATTTGGTGAGATATCATTCATGTACTTTAGTTTTTTAGACATGGTTTCCTTTTGTTTTTGTTTTTTTTTGAAAATATTTATATTAGCTCCTTTGAAATATTTACTAAATCTAACATCTGGACTTCTGCAAAACCAAAAAAACCAAACCCATTGCCATCGAGTCAATTTCGACTCATAGCAACCCTATAGGACAGAGTAGAACTGACTCATAGGGTTTCCAAGGAGCACCTAGTGGATTCGAACTGCAAACCTTTTGGTTAGCAGCCTGAGCTCTTAACCACTATGCCACCAGGGTTTCTGACTTCTGCAAAAGCACTTTTTATTGCCTGATTATTTTCCTGAGTATGGGTCATGCCCTTCTATTTCTTTGCGTGTCTCAGATTTTTTTTTGTGTGTGCTTTAGGTGAAAGTTTACAGAGCAAATTAGTTTCTCTTTAAACAGTTAATACACAAATTGTTTTGTGACATTGGTTGCCAACCCCACTATGTGTAAACACTCTCCCCTTCTCTAGCCCGGGTTCCCTGTTTCCATTTGTCCAGGTTTCCTGTCCCCTTCTGCCTTCTTGTCTTTGCTTTTGGGCTGGCTGGTATGCCCATTAGTCTCATATACATGAACTGAAAAAATATGGAATGCTTCAGGAATTTGCATGTCATCTTTGTGCAGAGGCCATGCTAAGCTTCTGTATATAATTCCAATTTTAGTATATGTGCTGCTGAAGTGAGCACTCAGAATTTTTTTTTAACTGGACATTTTAAATAATACGTTGAAGCAACTGTCTATATGGATCCCCCTGGGCCTTGTTGTTGTTGTCTGCTGTTTGCTTTTATAATTGTTTAGTGACTTGACTGGAATGTTTCAGTGAAATTTATTTCTCCTGCAATGTGCAGCTATTGATGTTATTTTTCAGAGGTCACAGCCTTGGGCATATGTACACACACAGTCACCTCCAACACATACCTTCCAACAGTGGTTTTAGCCAGACTCTCTTGATTGTTTCTTTCTTTAATCTCTCAGCTGAGCTTCTGTCTGTCTGCCTCTATTGGCATTTCACCCAACTGTTAGTCTTCACTGATTGTTAGCTGATTGCTCTGTTGTTTTTGATAATGGGCTGGGACATAACTTGCTCTGTAGTCTGATCTAGTCAAAGTCTAGTTAAAGAATGTTGCCAGTATTTAAGGCTTGCTCCAGCCTCAGGAGGGCTCTTCTTAGCTGTCTTTGTCCCTGGTTATCTCTGTTAAATTTCAAGGTGGTTTATTGTTTTGTTTGTTGCTAGTAGTATCATGGAGCTAGTGGCCTCCTCTTAACTGCTCACTACCAAGATCTCTATTTTTCCTGACAATGCACTTCATGAATTTCCGCAAGCATTATTCTAAAGTCAGTCAGTCCTTTTTGGAGACATATGCATCTATTTGTTCTGCCTCTTCCCCTGGGCAAAACTACTGCACCACTGCACAATAGCTAGGGATGGGGACAGTGGCCCTCTTCTCCCAAAGTGGCACCCCTTGTCTACCAGTGGGTCACTGTGTGGGGATGGTAGCTCCTAGAATTCTTGACTTGTGCCTCCAAGAATGGAACCCCTACCTTATGAGTGAGCTGGGTCAGGGTGGTCAGGTTCCAATATTCTTGGCCTGCTGTACCTAGGGTAGAGCTTCCATCCTATAAGCGAAGGCTGGTTGGAGGAAGGGAACTTCAGTTCTCTTGTCCTCCCCTGCCTGGAATAGCCTTTTTGCAACTTGGATTTGGGGGAGATGAAAGATGCTGGTGGTCTGCCTGTCTTGAGGCAAAACCATAGTCCTAGACTGGGATTTGGGGAGATAGAGTCCCATCTTTTTGGAAGCACCTGCGCAGAGTACAGCTTCTGCCACATGAGCTGGGAGAGAAATGGGAGCAGATCGTGCCTCAAATGCCATAGACTTTCATTGTTCTTACCAAAATTTAGTAAATTTTCTTGAATAAATATTTCTTCATTTGCTGTATGCCTTTAGGACAATTTCCAGAAACTGTAGATAGCTGTTTTTGTTTGTTTTTTAAATAGTTTTCACCAGTTAAATGGTTATTCTACTAGGAAGAGGTTGCCCCAAGCTCCTTATATCATCATTCTGGAAGTTTCCATTTGCTCCCTCTTTTCGCAAAGATTTATTGGAATAAAAAAAACAAAACAAAAAAAACAGAAAATAAAACCCTGTTGCCATTGAGTTGATTCCAACTCATAGCAACCCTATAGGACAGAGTAGAATTGCCCGATAGGGTTTCCAAGGAGTGGCTGGTGGATTTGAACAGCTGACCTTTTGGTTAGTAACCAAATGCTTAACCACAGCGCCACCAGGGTCCCTATGGGAATATAGCCATGTCTATTCATTTATGTGAAGCCCTGATGGCACTGTGGTTAAGAGTTTGGCTGCTAACCAAAAGGTCAGCAGTTCAAATCCACCAGGGGCTCCTGGGAAAATCTATGGAGCAGTTCTACTCCTCTCCTATAGGCTCGCCATGAGTTGAAACTGACTCAAGGGCAATGGGTTTTTGATTTTTTTATTCATTTATGTATCGTCTGTGGCTGCTTTCATGCTGCAATGGCAGAGTTGTGTAGTTGCAACAGAGATTTAATAGCCTGCAAAGCTTAAAATACTTACTATCTGGTCCTTTACAGAAAAAGTTAGCTGAGGAATGAATGCATTATCTTTCTTTTCTCTTTATAGAAACAATATTACAAAACTATTGACATATAAAGAGGGGAATCAAAGAATATGCAGTCAGAATTGTAGAAAAAATCATGTTAGATGATCAATTGATCCACTCATCACTGTTCTCTCTTTTTTGTTTGTTTTTAAATTCTTAAATTTTTTTGTGATATATTTTCTTTTTTTTTTTTTTTTAAAATATTTTATTGTACTTCAGGTGAAGGCTTACAGAACAGATAGTTTCTCATGTAACAGTAACACACATGCTGTTTTATGACATTGGTTAACAACCCCACAACATTTTAACCCTCTAAATACTCAACTTTTTTTTTTTTTTTTGGTGAAAATACACATAGCCAAAGATACGCCATTTCAAAAATTTGTGATATATTTTCTTATTCTAAATAAATACATCTTATTTTATACCTAATTTAGTATGTTTAATTTTGCAATCTTCTTGTTAAGGTGGGCCCCCTAAATTGAATAAGCTTCCTCCCCATGGAGGGGCACCAGTGTGATTAGATTTAAGTTGTAGAATTGTTGTTTCCTACACTCCAGTCATCTACTTTGTGTATTCAAGAATTTTTGTCATATCAGCGTATCACTTGTTCTATTTACATAATTTTTTAATTGCCTTTTTTACTAAAATAAATAGATCATAATGTATCTCTGAAATCCCGGGCTTGCTGTACCAGTGTTACGTTTGTAAGTGCACCATGTCTGGGTACCACTGGTGGCATGTATTCTGTAGACACACTCTGGCTGAGGGGGTAGAGTCGGCTGGGCGAGGCACTGAAGGCTGGTGGGAGGCCAGGCGGGTGGCTAGGGAGAGCTGAGTGGGCCAACACCTCACTATGCCTCTTGCTGCCATTGGTTGTATGAGGTCTGTCTTCCCAACTAGGCTTTGAGCTTGTAGGGGCAGGACAGGGTCAGATACTCCATGACCAGGCACAGAGCAGACATCACAGGCACCACAGGCTGAAGAGTGAGTGGCAGCCCCTGAAGCCTCGGCCTCTGTCTTTCAGCACTGCTTTAAAGGACACTGCATCTGGCTGACACCTGACATTCTCAAACGGGATGGAAACTGGGGCACCTGGAGTCCGTTTGGCTCCTGCTCGCGTACTTGCGGCACGGGTGTGAAGTTCAGGACCCGCCAGTGTGACAACCCACAGTGAGTTGGCCCCATTGTTCCCTTACCCTTCTGAGGTGGTGGGGACCCCTGGCTAGGTGGCCTTATCTGCACAGTAGTTCTAGAGAGGATACAGGGGCAGGCAGCCCTGGCCATTCCTCACCCCACCTAGGAGGAAGCTGAGACTCAGAGGAGTGTGCATGCCCCAGGACACACAGCCTACAGGGGCAGAGCTGGCCGTGGGGACCTGGAGACCTGGTCTCCTGACCCACAGCCTGTAGCACTTCCCACCTGGACTACAGCCCTACTCTTGACACCAGTGTACTCTGCCCTTTGTAGTCGAGGTTATTGAGGATAGAAGGTGGAACAGAGGGGAAAAGGAGACGAAGAGGAGAGCTCTCTTGGCCCCAGGATGCTGGGAGCCTGAGCAGGGGCTGCCATAGCCAAGCAGCAGCTGTCTTCAATCAGGAGAGAGGCAGGGTCAGCGAAATGCTACCCATGTCCGGTTGCCCAGGGGAGACACAACCTGTAGGGAGGTTGTCCCTGTGCCAGCCAGGCTCCCCACTTTCAATTGTGCTCCTGCTCCTGCCTCCCTGTCCTGTCCTCCTCCTTGGCCCTCTTATTCTACCACCCCACCCAGGCCATGCCCTTTCCTCAGGTCACAGCCACTTCCCTATTCACATGCTCACCACTCCTCACCTGGATTACCGCCGAGCCGCCTCCTGCCTCAGCCCTCGGCCTCATCCGGTGTAGTGTCCCCATCGAGAGCAAGGGCTATGGAGCCAGAGTCTGTGGCCTGTGACTCACCGTGTGACCTGGGGCCAGTAGTCACCCCAGGGCCTCCCATGCAGTTGTGGCAATGGAGACATTAGCACCCTTCTGGTCTTCCACCTGCCTATTCGAGGCTTACACTGCAGCCCCAGGGACTGCCTGGAGACATGTGGCATTTGTCTCTTTCTGTAGCCTGTCTGCTTTTTTAAAACATTTTGATTTACCTGAAAATAGTAAATATCTGGAGATATCAATATTTAAAAAATAACAGATTTCCAGCTTCTAAATTGGGTGCTATAGCAATGCTGGGCTCAAATACAGGCTGGTGGGCAGTGAGCTCAGGCTGTGCCCTTCATGGGGAACCCCACCCGACCTACTTCCCTCATCTCCTTCACCCACCTGACCCCTTCTAGATATTTGGGTTTGGGCACTAACCCCTAAGCATCAGTCACAGGCTTGTCACCCTTCCATGGCCCCTGCCATGGCCTCAGCAGGGCTCCAGGGTCTGAGAAATTGTATGAGTTTTTGTGCGTGTGCATTTTGCTGGGGGAGTAGGTCTCTAGCTTCACATCAACTTCTCAGAGGAGCCTGTGAACCCCAAAGTTTGGCCCCACAGGTCTCAGGGAAAGTCCAGACTGCCTGGCTGGGCTTCCAGAGTTCACCGTGTTTTGGCCTATGCAGCAATTTCCATGCTCTGTTTAGTCTGCCCAGACCCTGAACTGACCACGGGGGCCAGAGGGGGTCAGCAGAAGCAGGGCAGGGAGGATCAAGTGAGTCCATGTGGGCAGGCCGGGACGCGGGGTGAGGGCTCAGGGAGGGGCCCGGGACTGGGGTCCGGCAGGGGAAGAGCCCACACCCCAGGGGCACCCTGCCTGGGGCCTATCAACCCAGCTTGTACTTGGAGCCCTTTCCTCCCCTCCTGCCCTCCTCCTGCCTGGGATCTCCAGGCTGCGATCCTGGCCAGGAGCACAGGCAGGAAGGGGCTCAGTGGCTCTCTGCCCCCTCCTCAAGCCCCTCTGGGGGGCTTTAACACATGTCTCAAAGTGAGATCTAGGAACAGGGGAGATAGCACTGCAGGCGGCTACTGGCTGCCTGGCAAGAACCACGTGTTCCTGTCCTGCAGCACATGCCTGGCATGCAGCAAGCACTCAATAAATGCTATTAGTGTCTGCTGCCCTTCATGTGTGGATGGAATAACAGGTCCAGGGTGCAGTTGGGAGAGCAGATCTGACCTCACCCCTGGTATCCAGGCCCTGACTCCCTGTGCCTGACTTGGGGCTAGCTCCAGCTGGGTTCATGGGGTACAGAGGACTCATTCCCAGGCTCGGCCCCAGAGGAGTACATGTACTCTCTCTCACCCTCCCCACTTGCACCCTCTGTGGTCCTGCTCTCTTTGGTGGTGGCAGCAAGGGACAGGGATTGCAGCAGGGATTGCCCCAACTGCCTGCAGACCCATCAGTCCACAAAACCAGCATACAGGAGCATCACCCAGCCCATGCCCAGGCCTGGCGCTTCCTCCACTGACCCATGGCCATCAGACAGCATAGGTGTGGCAATATGGAGTTCTGACACGGTTTATTTACACTGGCCTAGCCCCACCAGTGGGAGGCACAGCACAGCCACAGCACCCAATGCATCTCAGAATTCATGGGCTCAGCCTTGTCATTAACAACCCAGGTTGTTAACACCCCTATGTGGTCACATCTCTTACGAGTTCCCCAAGTGAAGGCACCCAGACCAGACTGCTACATTTTTAATTACTACTTGCCACACTTGCACACAGCTTCCCTCCTTACAACGTTGACCCATGATGGGCCAAGGGGGAAGGTGCTTGCCACAGGCCCTCTGTTCCATCAGGTTGAATTCTGCCTGTGTTCTTAGCTGTCCCCACTCTTGTGATTGCAAAACTGAAAGCAATCTACAGTCTCCAGCTTCTTGACCTGCTTTTCCTACCACGTCTCCTCTGAATTCTATGGCTAACATTCTATTTCAGTCATAACATGGATTTCCATTCAAATTAGTACGGCTCCTGCCTGGGCAACCTGGCCCCTCCTGCCATTTCCAGACTAGCTGCTGTATCCATGGGACCCAAGTCACCACTGTGGGGCTGCTGAGCGTGGATGCCCAAGGTCTCCTGGTTCCTCCTGCACCCAGGACTGCACTCTCCTTCTTGATGCCACCCTTGGTGTTATTTTCACTGGTTCTGTGGCCCCATCAGTCAGCAGGCTGTAAATCACAGCTTTGCCCTTTCTTTCATCCTCCCCTTCAAACATGGCCTGTTGATTCGTTCTCCACAAAATTTTTTGCATCATTCTTTCCACTCTCTGCCCTTGAGAGCCTAATACCATGCAAGGGGCCTTATGGAAGCAAGTTCCTTTATCACTACCTACCCCGTGCAGAAGCTGTTGCCATCCTCTCTGCGACAGAGCGAGACTTTTGCCCAAGTCTCAGGTGCCAGTCCTGGGGGCAGGGTGGAGGCTTGGGTTCTGCATGTCTGCCATGCCCAGGTCTCCCGGCTACTCCCAGAGCTGCCCTGCCTCCCAGGGGAATCCTGCCCACCCAGAGCTGGTGGGGAGGGAGGCTTTTTCTTTTTCTGCAGGGCAGTGCTTTGTGGGTTGGCACTGTTCTCACTGAAGCAAGGGAATCACAGAAACGCCTCCCACATTCCCTTCAGATGGGAAGAGAACCAGCATCAAGGGAGCGTACACTGTGTGCCCAGCCCTGGTTGAGGCCAAATGCACACAGGGCCCCTCTGTCTCAGAAGGGCTTCTGAGTTGCCCCTGTGTGTCAATGCTGCAGACCTGATTGTCAGCAAGCCTCACCTAGCCCCTGCCGTCCTGGGCCTATGGCAGAGTGGGGAAGGCAGAACCCAAATACCCAGTCAACAACAATCACAGTGATCTGATGGTGCTGGTGGGGTGTACAGGGCTGTGAGCAGATGCTCCCTTCCCTAGGGAGCCCGTGAGGGAGAGGTACAGCCTATCCCGTCCCAAGGCCCTGAGACCTGGAGCCTGGGGAGTTGCCTGGTTCCTGTGGCAGGGACAGGGCAGGGCTGGATCTCCTCCCTCAGCAGAGCTGCCCCCCCACCCCCAGTGCCTGATATGCAACGATCCCACAAGTGCTGAGTGGCCCTGAGTGCTACTCTCTGTCTGGTGGCACCAAGCTCAAGGCCTCTGCTTTCTCTCCAGCCCAGCCAATGGGGGCCGCACCTGCTCAGGCCTTGGCTACGATTTTCAGCTCTGCAATCCCCAGGACTGCCCTGACTCTCTGGCTGACTTCCGTGAGGAGCAGTGCCGCCAGTGGGACCTGTACTTCGAGCATGGCAATGCCCAGCACCACTGGCTGCCTCACGAGCATTGGGACGGTGAGCCTCTGGAGGGCAGTGGGCACCCAGCAGATATGCCTGGGTGAACAGGCAGGGACTGGCACCAGTGTTCTGTGCCTCCGATTCTGCCTGGCACAAGGGTGTGGGCAACACCTGGGCTGAGAGCAGAGCCCAACCTGGCCAGTGTGGGTACTGGGGTCCACTCCTTGGGCTGAGGTCAGGACTCACAGTGGGCTGCAGTCCCAGAGAAGCCAGAACACTGGGTTTGGCCAAGGATGCAGGGCTGGGGGAGCCAGGCTGGAGGCTCAGTGGGTGCCTGGCTCCCACAGTCACCATCTGGTGGATGAGGCTGGAACTGCATAGTTAGATAGGCTCCAGGGATGAGGGTGGGGACGGAGCTGAAGGCAGCCAGGGCTAACCCTTCCCAAGGAACCAGGTTACCTCTGGGCTTCTCATCCATTAGTCAGGACTCTCAAGGCAAGTGTCAGAAAGCAAGACTCAAACAGGTTTAATCATTAAAAGACATTTATTGGCTCATGGAACTGGAAAGTCTGGTAGCTTCAGGCATGGCTGGACCAAGGTACTTGTGATAGTTCCAGGGCCTCATTCTACTTCTCTCAGCTTTGGTTTCTTCAGTGTTGGCCTCTCTCCCACTATGTGGGGGCAGGAATGGCCTCAGCACCTGGCACCTTATATGCTATGAACTCAGAAACTTCAGGTGAAAGAAGCCTTCCCTGTCCTGGTGCTTTTAACCACAACGGGGCCCGCGTCCTCCTAGACTAAGCCACTATGGCCAGGGGTGGGGCACAACCTCTCCTGGAGCCGCAGAGTGGGGTTTGAGTCTCACAGAAGGGGTGAGAGGAGTGGTTTCTCAAAGGACAACTGGGGTGCTATGACCAGACTGGGGTGGGGGATAGGATGTTCATCCACAGCTCCTATGTGCTATGGCCTATCCCTGGTTCCCAGCATTCCGTAGGGACAGGCCTCACAGCACCAGTGCACCAAAGGTTGCTGAGCCAGCTTTGCAAGGGTACCCAGACTGCCCCCTATAGACACCAAGTTAATCCAAGGAGTAGGGCCATGGGCGTTCTGCAAAGCTGACCACTTGGGAGGACAGGCCTGGGCATCTTTCTGCTCACCTGGCCGTTGGGGAGGCAGACGGGCTGGACTCTCAGAACTCGGAGCCCCAGCATCTCCTCAAGGCCCCAAGAAGAGAGGGGTCTCATTGGGGCAGAAGGAAAGGGAAAAACAATACCGTTCATGTTGGCCGAGTACCTACTATGCTCCAGACATGTTTCTAAGTGCTTTACATGTATTGACACCCAGGAACCCAAAGAGGTAGGTAACAGAGTCATCCTTATTTATGGATGGGGAAGCTGAGGCACAGATAGGTTAATTATGTTTCCAAGGTAACCTGTATTGGAGTCACTAGGGGTGCTCATACCCTGGGGTGTCACTGACTCAGTGGACAGAGCTAGGAAACACATGTGCCTTAGTTTCCGAGTGTGGCTGTAACTGAGATACACAAGTGGGTGGCTTTAAAGAACATAAATGTATTTTCTCACAGTTCAGGAGGCTAGAAGTCCAAATCAGGGTCTCAGCCATGTCTATTCCTTCCTTGTCCATAGCCCTGGATGTTCCTTGGTTCCTTGGCTTGTAGACAGTCCTCACATGGCGTCTGTCTTTTCCTGTGTGTGTTTGTGTGTCTGTGTGTGTGTGTGTGTGTCTGTGTGTATCTGTATTTGTGTCTGTGTTGAACCTGCTCTTTTTATAACTCAGAAGTAATTAGGTTTAGAACCCATCCTACTTAGGTATGACCAAATTAACATAATAAAGAAAACCCCTAATTCCAAACAGAATCCTATTTACAGGTATACAGGCCAGGATTTCAATACATATTTTTGGGGGACACAATTAAATCCATAACAGCAAGTATGTATACAAGCCCATATACTCATACCATCTCTATTTCTGACTTTCTCTCTCAGCATACATATTAAAAGCTACATGTTTATACTGATCCCTCTGATTCTAATCCAACACCACAGGCTCATTTCCTCCCCCCGATTTCCTTATTTGTAACTTCTTTCTCCAGCAGAGAGAAGTCTGGTTCTTGGGATCTACAATGCAATTGCTTATTTGTTCAATGCCAGTGGACATATAAAGTGGTTTCAGAATCCCGAACATATTCCTCCATGAGAAACACCTTTATGAACAAGGTCACAGCAATTATGTACAGTTCTTTTTTCCTTTGGTCCAAGAGTTTTCAGTCAAGATAGTTTTCCAAGGTTACTTTGATTAATTCTTCTCTTCCCCACCCCCTTCAGTGTGGTTATGCTAGGCATTTGCAGTACAGTCATCTGTTGATGTTTGCATTACATTTTGGGTCTCCTTCCCCCCAATTCAGGGAGAAAGATGTGGCAATCTGCTTCTGTAAAGGAGCCCTGGTGGTGCAATGGTTAAGAGCTACAGCTGCTAATCAAAAGGTTGGCAGTTAGAATCCATCAGCCGCTCCTTGGAAACCCTACAAGACAGTTCTACTCTGTCCTATAGGGTTGCTGTGAGTCGGAATCGATTCAACAGCAACTGTTCCCCCTGCCCCCGACACCCACACACACTCATGATGGAATTATAAAACATAACTTCAGTTCCTCCCAGGGATTGGGGCGGGAGAGGGAGGCTGGGGCATGAGTCTCTCTGTCACCTTGAACTATCGCTCCATTTGTTACCTCTTTGAGAAGCAATAGTGAGCAGCGCCAGCCCCCTGCCCTCACACCAGTGCAGGAGATGGGGGCTGAGCACAGCAGATGGGGCGACACCCTGACTGTATTTTCCCCAGACTGCCACAGCTAATTACCAAAATAACAGAAATTTGTTCTCTCTGTTCTGGAGGCTAAAAGTCCAAAAGGAAGAGGTTACCCAGGCCAGTTCTTTCTGAACGCTCTAGGGGAGGATCCTTCCTTGCCTCTTCCAGCTTCTGGTGGCCCCAGGCATTCCTTGGCCTGTGGCAGCATCATTCCAATCTCTGCCTCTGTCTTCACATGACCTTCTTGTCTTCTGTCTCTGTGTGTGTTCTCTCCTCTTCTTATAAATATACCAGTCATTGGATTTAGGGCCCCCCCAATCTTAGTTAATTGCATTGGGAAAGACCCTATTTCCAAACTAGGTCACAATCTGAGGTCCCAGGTGGACATGAATTTGGGAGGGATACTACTCAACCCACAAGACCCCTCTTGGAGGCTGCGGTCTGGTGGGAAAAGTAAATGGACATCAAATAATAACCAGTAACTTAGTGACCTCTGAGATAAAGCCAAGGAGGAACGGGGCAGGAACCCAAGGCTGAATCAAGGAGGCTTAAGGGTTTCAGAGAAAGCTGACTGTAAAAGGGTTCTTTAGGTCAATACCAGGCAAACAGCCATTAGCCTCTCCACAGAGAGTATCAGGAGTTTCTGGACGGGGTCCCAGGGATCAGAGAACTAAAAATAGCCTGACTCACTTACTGGGAAAAAAAAAACAAAAATAGTTGCCATCGATGTCTATTCCAACTCATGGCAACCCCATGTGTGTCAGAGGAGAACTATGCTCCGTAGGGTTTTCAATGACTGCTTTTTGGAAGCAGATCTCCAGGCCTCTCTTTGAGTCACCTCTGGGTGGGTTGGAACCACCAACCTTGTGGTTGGCAACAATTGCACCACTCAGGGACTCCCACTTAGGGAAACCTCTTCCTAAATCAAGTACCACCAGGGTCACAGGCTCAGAAACACCAGGGGGCTGGAGTCACCTGCCCACTTTCTCTTTCTCTCCCAACCCAGGGGGCAGGCAGCCTGGGGAGGGGCAGGTGAATCAAGCAGGCCCCATGAGAGACAATACTGGTGGTTCTCTCGGGCAACCTTGGGCAAGCCCTAGAGGGTGGCACAGCCAGGCTCCTCACCACACCTGCTGTTTCTCCCCAGCCAAGGAGCGCTGCCACCTATACTGCGAGTCCAGGGAGACCGGGGAGGTGGTGTCCATGAAGCGCATGGTGCACGACGGGACGCGCTGCTCCTACAAGGACGCCTTCAGCCTCTGTGTGCGCGGGGACTGCAGGGTGAGTGCAGGCAGTGAGGTACAGCATCTCGGGGTCCAGTGTAATCGCCTCCCCTTCTTGGTGTATTTGGGAAGATTCACTGAGGCTAAGCATGCAAAGTGTGGGAACAGCACCAGCACACAGCAGACTCTCAGCAAATGTGGGGTGACTCCCTCCCCATGCCAGGGACTCTGCAACTTGAGTGACCCTAGGAGTCTCACTTGAGGAGCTGGGCTCCACCTCAGAGATCCTGATTCCATGGTCTGTGGCATGGCCTGGGAGCATGAGAGTTTACAAGCTCCCCAGGTGATTTCGATGCTGTGGTCCACAGGTGACCCCTTAAGGTGATACACTGCCACATCCCTGCACTTGCTGGGCCCTGGATTTGTGCTCTTGAATAGAGGTAGCCATCAGAAAAATGCCCAGGTGGGGCGTGTTGGTTGGCCCTCAATAGAAATGCCTTGTTGGGTTGTCCTTTGTTATTATGTCCTTGGCGTCTATGTTAGGTGGCCACAAGAAACACCTATGGGGTAACCTCAGCATACAGTAGCATCATGAGTGCAGGGTTGCCCCTGCCAGATTCCCCTAGAAACAACTGGAAGCCTCCACTAGGTTGTACATAACCAGGACTGATTGTGGGTGCCACAGAGGGCTGACTTGTCTGACCATTGTGAGGAATGGCAGTGTCCTCAGGAAGCTCTGACAGAGCCTGGCAGAATTCCACAAGCACCTGGACATGGAAGGGATGGCTGGAAGGTAGGGGACGTGGACTCGGACAGCTGGAGAGTGCACTGCCGGGTTTCCCTCCACTTAGGTGGTCTGAGGAGGACCACAGCTAGCGCTGAAGGAGCTCCCCCATGATGCCACAGCAGCAGGTGCCAGGGGACCAGGCAGGGCCTCTGGGGTGGAGCCCAGGCCACATAGCTGGCTCAGAGAGGGTGGAACAAAATACTCACAAATGGGTGTCAGAATAGCAAAGGACAGGAAGCAAGCACAGGAAACAGTATAGATTTTCTAACAGTTAGTAGAATTAAATTTAGATGACACCCATGAGTACAGTTGCAAACATACCAGGAGGAAGTAAGAGCACTACTTCACCATCTTAGTGGGAATGGATATAACTTCATTCCTGACATGGACAATGACTATTTTATTAATTAATAGTAATTTCAAATGGATAAAAGCAGAAAAGTTTGAATAGAGAACATATACACATATTTTCTTACATATACATATATGTGACCATATTGCAAAAGATATAAAAAATGAGACAGAAAGGAAAGATTAAAAATACACACAAAAAGGACAATGAAAAGATTAACTATATCATTTATAACAGTACGCATGAGTGTGAAATTCTTAATACTAGGTCAAAAATAATACCCAAGTAGATGCTGTCAATTACAGAATATCAAAACAAAGTGACTCAGGAAGGTTAAAAGTGGAATGACAGCAAAAGATATATGAGCTGAACAAAGACACACACACATATAGACCAGAGACTCAAATAGAATCCGAGTATTAAACAAGGCTCATCAGGTGACTTTGCTTTAATAAAGAGTACAATCTGCTACCTTGATATAGTAAACACATGCCACCAAAATATGTTATCTAAAAACTGTTATAAAAAGGGGAAAAATTGAAATAAACTAGTATCTTTCCTGATTCTAATCAATAAGATTTTATAACGCAGGAAAGGAGAGAAACACCTCATTAAATATGCTCCATCTCCCCAAAAGCAAAAGGTCATTAAAAAGACAGGAAAGAAAGAAAAGACCAAAATGGATGTCAGGAGAGACTCTGAAACTTGCTCTTGAGTAGCTAAAGAGAATGGAAGAAATGATAAAGTAAAGGAGCTGAACGGGAGATTTCAAAGGGCAGCTTGAGAAGACAAAGTAAAGTATCAGGGAAATATGCAAAGACCTGAGTTAGAAAACCAAAAGGGAAGAACATGTTCAGCATTTCTCAAGCTGAAAGAACTGAAGAAAAAAATTCAACCCTCAAGTTGCAATATTGACTGATTCTATGGGGAAAATATTGAACAACCCAGGAAGCATCAAAAGAAGATGGAAGGTATATAGAGAGTCACTGCACCAAAAAGAATTGGCCAATGTTCAACCATTTCAGGAGGTAGTATATGATCAAGAACCGATGGTACTGAAGGACGATGTCCAAGCTGCACTGAAGGCACTGGTGAAAAACAAGGGCCGATGAATTGATGAAATACCAATTAAGGTGTTTCAACAAACAAATGCAATGCTGGAAGCTCTCACTCATCTATGCCAAAAAATTTGGAAGATAGCTACCTCGCCAACCAACTGGAAGAAATCCATATTTGTGCCCATTCCAAAGAAAGGTCATCAAACAGAATGCACAAATTATTGAACGATATCGTTAATATCACACACAAGTAAAATTTTGTTGAACGTCATTCAAAAAGAGTTGAAGCAGACATCAACAGAAAATTCCCAGAAATGTGAGCCAGATTCAGGAGAGGACATGGAACGAGGTATATCATTGCTGATGTCAGATGAATCTTGGCTGAAAGCAGAGAATACTAGAAAGATATTTACCTGTGTTTTATTGACTATGCAAAGGCATTTGACTGTGTGGATCATAACAAATTAAGGATAACATTTTGGAGGATGGGAATTCCAAAACACTTACTTGTGCTCATGAGGAACCTGTACGTAGGCCGAGAGGCAGTTATTCTAACAGAACAAGGGGATACTGTGTGGTTTAAATTCAGAAAAGTTTGTATCCTTTCACCATACTTATTCAATCTGTATGCTGAGAAAATATTCCTAGAAGACAGACAATATGAAGAAAAAGGTGGCATCAGGATTGGAGGAAGTCTCGTTAACAGCCTGCAATACGCACATGACACACCTTGCTGAAAGTGAAGAGGACTTGACGCACTTACTGATGAAGATCAAAGGCTACAGCCTTCAGTATGTATTACACTTCAACATAAAGAAAACAAAAATCCTCACAACTGGACTAATAAGCAACATCATGATAAACGGAGAAAATGTTGAAGTTGTAAAGGATTTCATTTTACTTGGATCCACAATCAATGCCCATGCAAGCAGCAATCAAGAAATCAAACAACATATTGCATTAGGCAAATCTGCTGCAAAAGACCTTTATAAAGTACTAAAAAGCAAAGATGTCACTTTGAGGATTAAGGTGCCCCGACCCAAGCCATGGTATTTTCGATTGCCTCATATGCATGCGAAAGCTGGACAATGAATAAGGAAGAATGAGGAACTGATGCCTTTGAATTTATGGTGTTAGCAAAGAATACTGAATATTCCATGGACTACCAGAAGAATGAACAAGTCTGTCTTGGAAGAAGTACAGCCAAAATACTTCTTAAAAGTGAGAATGGCAAGACTTTGTCTCACGTACTTTGGACATGTTATCAGGAGGGACCAGTTCCTGGAGAAGGGTGTCATGTTTGGTAAAATGGAGGGTCAGTGAAAAAGAGGAAGACCCTCAAGGAGATGGATTGACACAGTGGCTGCAACAATGAGCTCAAACATAGCAACAATTGTGAGGATGGCACAGGACCAGGCAGCATTTCCTTCTGTTGTACATAGTGTTGCTATGAGTCAGAACCAACTGGACAGCACCTAACAACAACAATAGCAACCTCTCCCTGTGATGACAGTCACCCAAAGATTGCTACCAACTTCTTCCCTTTGGCTTGCACTGACATGGAATCTAAGCTGTCAGCTTCTCTGGACATTGGCAATAGCTGGCAGCAACCATGCAGAGCCATGGGGGACCTGTGGCATCCTAACCTGAGCTGTCAGCTGGACCCCTTTAGCCCCTTTAGGATCTAAGGTGACATTTCAGGCCAGTCAAAGAACCTGGGCTTCATTGGCCTTTTCTATTTGATTGAAGTCTTGGTATTACCATCCCCCATGAATTCAGTTACAGAATGCTAGACATTAAACAGCTTCTCCTGAAGGCTGGTAGACAGTAGACACTTACCAAAGATAGATGGTCACCGAGCCAGGGGTGGTGCTTACCTGGGCCTGGGTCATACCACCTCAAGTTCCCAGACAAAAACACTCCTCTAGGTGGCAGGCAAAGCTCTCTTGACTGGCAATTAAATACACTCTGGTTTCAGAAAAAATAAAAGGTGAAAAAAAGGTGTGTTAGAATAAAGGAAAAATGATAACAGGCCATTTTAATGTCTTTCAAAGTTTGACAAACCAAGTAGTTAATTTTTTCTGCTTTCCTTTTGCCCAACTTCTGTGAAGCCCAGAACAAATTTTTCCTTAGAGCAACAATTTTAAAATGTAGCATGTTTCTTCATTATTTCTCTGTCCAGATAGCCTCCACCTATTGCAATCCATTGAATTTCCATTCAGTATATCTTCGGTTGTAAACTGGCTCCAACCCTTTTTATAAAGAGCATATAAATCAGTGAAGAGCTCCCAAATACAAGTTGATACTCAGCTGAGTCAAATGATCTCACCTGGGCTGGCTTCCATCGAGTCCAGCTCGGAGTCCAGGAGCACGTCTTCCCCTCACTGCCCCTGTGTGCCCAGTGTGCACGGCCTGATGCCCTAGCTGCTGAGACTTCTCCTGCCTCCAGTTTGCTCTGCAGGCAGACAGGCAGAGAAGCTACTGGAAACCTTTGCACTAACCTCACCCCCAGGTTAGAGGCTGGAGCAGAGGCAATCTTCCCCTGCCTCCAGGGGAGTCTAGAAAGGAAGGTACCACCCTAAGAAAGGGATTCTCTCCCCCGCCCTGTCCTCTTCCTTCTCCTCCTCTTCCTCCTCCTGTTCTTCTTCCTCTTCGTCATCTTTCTCCTCTTCCTCCTTCTCTTTCCCTCCTTCCTTTCCTCCGCCTCCCTTTCCTCCTTCTCTTCATCCTTCTTCTCTTCCTCTTCTTCCTCTACCTCCTCCTCCTCATCGTCCGGTCCTCCTCCTTTTCCTCCTCTCCCTCTTCCTCCTCCTCCTCAGCATCACCTTTACTGAGGGCTTTCTCTGTGCCAGGCAATGTATAAATGTTTTACAGGGATCACCTCATGGCAACCCTACACATGTCACAAATGTGAAGACATAGACTCAGAGAGTTTGCAGAATGTGCCCTCTGAGACTACACAGCCAGGAAGTGGTAGGTCTTTGCTTTTAGCTCAGGTTTCTGTGCCTTAGACAACGAATGTCTTTCCCTATCATGTTGCCTATCTGGTCGCTATGAGTCAGAATTGACTCAACAGCAATGGTCTTTTTTGTTTTTTATCATGTTGCTGCCCTTCGTTGAAATTTTTTTCTTCTGGTGTCATTAAAATAAATACGAACATGTTCATTTTACTGATTGTTTTGCACTCTATTCACTTCCAAAAATGATTCCAAAGGCTTATAATAAAATACTAGGTCCATGAAACCAAGAGTCACTAACTTTTACCCATGCATTAAAAAATGTCACCTTAACTATTGCTCTATAACCCTTTATTGTCGAGAGCCTCTGCCCTCAAAGGTCACTGGAAGACAAAAGTCAAAAATCAAAGAGCAAATGAAGAGGAAGCAGTCTCTCCAGAGGTAATAGTGGAAGAACTCTGGAGGGGAGAATTGGCTCTGAGCTTCCTGGCAGCCAGGGCCAAGAGGGAAACTTGTGATGTTGTTGAGTACTGTGGGGTGAATAGAGGGAATGGACCAGCCCAGAGGAGAGGCAGTCCCTCCCTGTTGCACTCTGAGAGGGATTGGTGGGGTCACCACCTGCAATCAGCATGCAGGACGGCTCCCCATGGAGCATCCATGGCCTGGGAATGGATGCTGCCAGGCCACAGAGGTGAAAAACTCTGGATGTGCTACTGCTCTCCCAAGGGACCCTAAGCACAGGTATGTCACTGCTCACCCAGTGCCTTGGTTCCTGGTCTCCAAAATGGGGATGCTTTTAGCTACTGGAGTAGGAGTGTTGAAGGGATGGCTGGAGAGAAGGAAAGCAAATGCGTTCCCACCAACTCTTGCCGCCTCCTTCCCAGACACACTACAGGGGACGTTGTTTTCCTCATGTGTAAAGTGAAACCTCAGCTTTGGAGGGAGCCCTGCAGGGGCTACTTCTGGAGGGTGAGCTGTGGGACATCCAGGGAGACAGCAGTGTGAGGGGCCAGCCCAGGTCTTTGATTTACAGCAGAAAGGACAGAAAGGATCTGAGAGGCTGGCTGAGCTGAGCCGAGCAAGCTTGGAATGGGACCCTATTGAGGCTGCACAGAGCCCTCTGATGGCCACACTATCTCAGTGGGTGGACTGAGGCTGGGCCAAGGGTGGTGCCTATGGTCACAGGGCTCTGTCTTGCTCCCACCCTCAGCATCCTCCCACCACATCATCAACTGCTGAGAAGGAAGCGCAGACCTTGGAGCTGCAGGAGGGAACAGGTGTCACCCACCTTGGGGGACCCTGGGGTCAGGGCCAGGCCAGGGCTAGAATGAGGGTAGGGTCTCAAGTTTTCCCTGTCTCTCCCCTCCTGCAGAAGGTGGGCTGTGACGGGGTGATCGGCTCCAGCAAGCAGGAGGACAAGTGCGGCGTGTGTGGAGGAGACAACAGCCACTGCAAAGTGGTCAAGGGGATGTTCACGCGCTCGCCCAAGAAGGACGGTGAGCCCTGCCCCTCCACCCCAGTACCCAACTACCTGCAGCACCTCTGCACAACATGGGCTCTGTGAGCCTGCATGTTCATAGCTGCTCTGGGCGAAGGTCTAGGAGGGGTGTGATGGGAGGTTCCTCAGTCAGGGGCAACTAGAGCCAGGCTCCTAGGTAGACAGGGAGCAGAGAGAATGGGGGTGCCATTCACAGGGGTAGGGCAGAGAATACTGGGCTGTAAGATGTAGGGTTTGGGTCTCAGATGTCTTTATTTGAGGGCAGGCATCCGCACAGGGTACTCTCTCCCCAGCCCCTCAGGGCTGCCTGGCCTGATCTGTCTGTCTCTTGCTCCCTCCGTCTCTGGTCCTGCCCCCAGCTGGCTGTCAGCAGGACTCCCCTGGGCTGGTCAGTGCAGCCTGCGGCCTCTGGGCCAGTAGATCTGTCCCCTCTTGGCCACAGGATGGGGCTGAGGAAGTTGGGGTCTCTGCAGAGGTAGGCTCTGGGAAAGCAGCCCTCTGGTAAGCCTCATTCTTGAGCTGGACCTCTTCCTGGCCCTCGGTCCTCTGGCTGGAGCTGCAGCAGCCAACTGTACCGCTATGGGCCTCCACCAGTCTGCCTCTGAAGTGGGGAGAAGCAACGTTGGTTCAAAGCCCCACACCATGGAAGGCCCTTGAAGTCAGGTGCTGGGGCCGCCCTCTCCATGGCCCCATGAGAGCACTGCACCTTCCATGTACAGATTAAGGGGCTGAGGTCAGAGGGGCCAAATAATTTGCTGAGAGCCTTCCTCCTAGAAAGTGGGCCTCTTAGATTCATACCCCAGTGGGATTCCCAGGTATCCCACAGGAATCCCACTGTGCTTTCCATGAGGCGGCTGAGGGGGCGTCTGGGATGTGATTCTGAAGTTAGTCAGAAGAGGCGGGAGAGGACCCAGTGCCTGCTGGGCTGTGACTCCAGCAGATACATAGTAGCTTCCTGCTGGTCCCTCTCTGGTTGGTTTCTTCAAATCCCAGAAATACCAGGGCCTTGGGAGACCTTTTGAGGGGCTGGGCCCTCCTTGCCTTGTCCGCATTCAAGTGAGCCTCTTCCCTTCTCATTTGCCTTTATCTTTCCAAATCCTAACAAAGGCTACATCAAGATGTTCGAGATCCCGGCAGGAGCCAGACACCTGCTCATCCAGGAGGTGGACACCACCAGCCACCATCTGGGTGAGTATCGAAGGTCCAGCCCTTTCGACTGATAAAGGGCCATCTCTACACCAGGGTAGCTTGGTGTGTCCAAGACCTGGCCCTTTCAGGGGTGGGCAGAAGGCCCAGGGGTCAGCTCCACCTCTACCTTTCCCTGGCTCAGCCCACCTGGTGGACATTTATGGGGTTATCACCCAGTGGAGAGGCCAGGGGTTGGAATCAGAGGGCTCCCCAAGCAGCAGCTGTGGAGGAACATGTGTTCAGGCCATGCCCCCACCCCCATCATTCACAGAACTGATGACTCCCTACCCCACGGGTCTTAAGCCGCCCCTCCCGCCACAGGAAGGCCCTGCCCATGGGAAGACCCCACCCATGGGAAAGCAGGCAGGATCTGCAGGCAGCAGGGTCCTGGGCAGCCCTCCTTCTGCCACTCCAGCCAGAGTGCACCAAGTCCAGGCAGCTGATTGGCTCAGGCAGTGTAGGGACATATTTCCAATTAGTTTAATTTTAAATTCAACAGACTCCACATAAAATACCAATGCCTGGCATTTCTTGAAAACTTGGGTGTTCTAACAACTCTGGGTGTCCCTTCCCACTGGGCAGCACTGTCCCCAGGCCTGTGCTTGCCCAGGCTGCCCTGGGACCCTTCTCAGTGGCCTCACCCATCTGCATCCCTCTCGCCCTGAAGGTGTCCTGGCTCTACCTCCTAGGTGGGCATGAGGCTGAAGTCAGAGTGATGTGAAGACCACTGGGGGACCCTGGACAAGTCCCTCCCTCCAGTCTGCCCCCCCCCCCATCCCCGCCATCATCACCAGTGCTGGAGGCTGGGACTGGGTCAGGGGCTCCCAAATACCCTGTTCCAACACTTCCTTCAGTGCTTGACAAATACACAGCCCCTTTCTCATACTCAGTTTTCTTTCTTACTTATTTTAAGCAGAAATTTTAATCCACTCCCCTAGGGGCAAAACCAGCACCACTTACCTTAAATAGAAGGTAAACGTAAAAGTTAATTCCTGAGAAAAAGACACTGCTTCCCAAACACTGTTTCTGACTCAAGGCTCCAAGTCTGAGGCCTGTGCGTTCTGCTAAAAAGGGAGCAAGTATTAGAGAGAGTTAAAGGCCCACTGGCATCAAACTGGAGCCCCGGTGGCGCACTGGTTAAGAGCAATGGCTGCTAACCAAAAGGTCAGCAGTTCAAATCCACTAGCCGCTCCTTGGAAACCCTATGGGGTTCTACTCTGCCCTGTAAGGTTGCTATGAGTCGGAATCAACTCGGCAGCAATGGGTTTGGTTTGGTTTGGTTTGATTTGGTTTGCACCAGACTGAGACTTTCTTCATGATGGGGACAGAGGATCACAGGAGACACGTGAAGGGAATGGCTTTCTCACTCTGTGACCCTTGATTTCCGTGCTGGGTCTGGGCCCCTGAGAATCACCTCGAATCCCACCATGGGGCTATATTCCATGCTGCAGGAACGCGGGGCTTCCTGATCAGCCAAGTTCTTGGTTTTGAGACATTCTTCTGGACATCCAGTGGCTGCATGGCTCCTCCCGATCTGGCCAGGCCTCTCTAGCATGAGTTATGAGTGGAACCTCGGCAGGGCTACAACTACTGAAGGGATGGGGAGACCCAGCTTTTTCAGCGGGACTATCCTCACTCCCATGGCAGGAAGCCCCCCACCTGCATGTGAGTTTCCCAGGGCTCTATGCCCTGGTGCCCAACACATGCCCTGCACCTCTTGGAGATGCCTCCCTGCCAGGCTGCCCAGGATGGCTGGTCACAGGAAGGGCAGCAGTCTCTAACGCCCATGAGCACTCTTGCATAGGCCTGGACATCTGCTGAGCTGGGCTTCCAGTGTCCAGTGGGGGCAGGCACTTGAAGGGTACTGGCTGCCCAAAAAGGCACAAATGCAGGAAGATCTAGGTCCAGTTGAGTAGCAGAGGGTGTGGCAGGGCTCCAGAAATGATTTGAGCTGTCAGTGGCGTGGTCAGGTCCCTGGGAAAGTGAAGCTGGGAGAGGTGAGGGCCTCTGCTGCGAATCCTCTGGGCTATAGTGGCACAAAGGTTAGGTCTTAGAAGTCTTTAAGACTAAGAAGTCTCCCCACCAGCCCAAACCAACATACCCTGGCAGGCTTCCTGCCGAGAGCCTGAATCCTGTCCTTGGTTGACCATGAGGGGTGGGCTCCTTTTGCCATTCTCAGCCGTCAAGAACCTGGAGACAGGCAAGTTCATTTTAAATGAAGAGAACGATGTGGATCCTAACTCCAAGTCCTTCATTGCCATGGGTGTGGAGTGGGAGTACCGCAATGAGGACGGCCGGGAGACACTGCAGACCATGGGCCCCCTCCACGGCACCATCACCGTCATGGTGAGCCCCTACTTATGCCTGTCTTCCACCTCCAGAGGCACAGGCCTGCTCAGGCAGGGGTGAAAGTGGCCACCGGGGCAAGGAGGGGGAGAAGCTCTGAGGGACCCTGAGCCTCCCTACACCCTATAGGCCATGCTCTGAGCGACCCCTCTGGCCTGCCCTCTGGACTGAGGTCTCCAGCTCCATGTCAGAGCAAGGAATGGATATGGGGCCATAAGTCAGAGCTCTGGGCTCTGCCATAGACCCCCAGTGACCTTGGGCAAACTCTGCCCTCCAAGGGCTTTGGTCTCCCCATCTGAATGACATCCACAGCTATCATTTATCACCCTCATTCATGTCTGCTATCACATTTAAACCCTGCAACACTGGGGAAGGGACAGGTAGGGCTCAGGAAGGGAGACAACTAGCCCAGATCACACTAGGTTTCATCCTCAGGCAGGACTGGACCCCAGACCTCTGAGTCTAAGAGATGATGTTTATGGGGTTGTGGTAACACTCTTGGTTATGGGGAATCGGGAGGGGGCTGGATCTTCTAATCACTTTTTATTTGTAAAAACAAAAAAAAGTTTATTTGTAAAAAAAAAATTAAAACACTACAGATAAGGCTAAAGTCCCCTTTAGCACCCCCACCCCCTAGGTTGAGCCACTGTGACTGGATTTCATCACACGCAGACCTCCAATCTCCATGCATGAGCAGGCACCTGTGGAGCAGGTGTGGCTTCGGGCCAGGTGTGCTTCCCGTACACTGGGCCACTCTACTCACCTCATCTGCAATGACCTTTCTGCCCTCTGAAATGTCTTTGGTGACCTACCTGTGTCAGTTGGGCGATGGGAGTCCCTCTGTGAGTGTGCAAGCCACACTGAACATAACTTCGGGCTCCTGTCAAGGTGGCCCAGAGGGTGTCTGTGCCTCGGGGCAGAAAATGAGCTAGAGAGGGAGACAAGAAGGCAGCCAGTGGAACCCCCTTTTGCCTACAAGCAGACAGTTGGCAGGCTGGCTTATCTTTCACCAATAGCAGTCATTAGGAATCTTAGGAAAGTGGAGACATGTTGTGGGAGACATCACCAGTTCAACTGGGAGGAGGACCTCGGGCTGAGCTTTCTGAATGGCTCTAAACTAGCCACCAAAGCAGGGTGGAGGTGGGCCAACATTCATGCCATCTCGGGGTGGGCTCAGGTCATCCCACAGGGAGACAGCCGGATCTCACTGACCTACAAATACATGATCCATGAGGACTCGCTCAACGTCGATGACAACAATGTCCTGGAAGAAGACTCCATGGACTATGAGTGGGCTCTGAAGAAGTGGTCCCCCTGCTCCAAGCCTTGTGGTGGAGGTGAGGGCTCCTAGCATTGGGATCTCTTGGTTGGGGGGCCTGAGGGTGACCAGAAGGAGGTGGGGGTGCACCCTGGGGTGAGCCCTCATGAGCAGGAGCACGGAGCAGGGCTGCTGTGGTGTGATGCTGTGACAGGGAAGCAAGCAGCCTGGTGGGGTCCTGGGGAGCCAGGGGGCTGGATGTCAAGGAGCTTCCTGAGCAGACGGATGGCCCCACTGACTGTGGCCAAGGCTGGTGAGTCTGAGCCTGTGCAAGACGTGAGAAGACACCCTGGCCTGTGTGGACAAGGCCCTGCCTGGCCTGGGAGGGGTAGTGGATGGGTAGGAGGGGTGAGTGCTCAGGGCATCATGCCACAGGTAGCAAGAGGGGCATGGGGGCACTGAGGGCTGCAGTATGGTGGGGCCTGCACAGTGTGTGGGAAGGGGCTGCTTGGCAGAGATCAGCGTGAGGGGACTTGATGGGCAATTCCAACTCTGGGGAGACAGAGGCCCTGTGAGCCTCAGACAGTGGTGGGAACAGGAGGAGGGGCCAACACTGGAGGGGTCCCTCCCTCTGCTCATTCAGAAAGACTTCCCCAGCGTTCTTGGGGCAGGGCTGGCACAGAGGGGTCCTACCTGCCCTGGACCTCAACGAGTTCATGGCTAGGTGGGACATACAGATGGATAGGAAGTTCTGATCAGTGTGACCCCTGCTCCTGGGGGTGGACAAGTGAAAGGCAGGAGGAGACAGCTCAGTGTGGGGAAGCAGGGACAGTGGGCAAGGCAACCTCCCTTGCATGCCACTCTGGCTGCCATATCTAGGGGGCACAGAGGAGTTCACCAAGGGGTTCCATTCCCCGCCCAGGCAATGGAGGCTCCTCTTCTGGTGTTCCCTTCCCATGTACCTCCAGCCCCAGCCCTCTCCGAATCCCACTTTTAGTCCACCAGCACATCCTGTGACCTCTCCTTCTATACATCTCTTAGACCCATCGGCTCTTCTCATCTTCCTGGCTGTCACCCTGGCCTGGCACCATCCTCTGTTGCCAGGATTATTGAAAAAAAAAAAAAAAAAAAAAACCCCGCTGGCCCTGTGTGTCCCCTTCCTCCCCCTGAGTGGTCTTTTAAAGGAGCAAAGTAGACCCTATCCCTTCCTGGTGTCAGTTTTCACTGGCTCCCTCTGTACTGGGAATTAAAAAAAAAAAAAAAAAAAAATCACTGTAATTCTCTTTGTGGCCTCAGGCCCTGGTGACTTGCTTACCTCTCAGGCTCCATCAGATGCCCTACCCATCACTCCCCAGACTGACCACATGACCCTAGGTTCCTTTCCTGGATGCACCAGGCACACCCCACAGGGCCTTTGCAGGGCTGTGTCCTCACCCCATTAGTCCTTTCGCCGCATTTCCACTAACTCAGTGCCACTCTTCCTTCCCATCCTGGGGCCCTCTAGACTCCCCAGATGAGGCCAGCCTGCTGGTTATAGTCTACCTGACCCACTAGCACAAGCTTCCTCCACTGTCAACATTTGGGGCTGGATAACTCTTTGTTATGGGGGCTGTCCTATGCACCATAGGATGTTTAACAGCTTCTGTGTCCTGTACCTACTAGATGCCAGTAGTACAACTACTACTGTTGACAACTAAAAATGTCCCAGGTGTAGTCCAATGTCCTTTGGGGGTTAAACCACCCTTGGTGGAGAACCACTGCTGTACACCATGGGAGAAGGCGCTGTGTTGGCCTTGCCCCTCAGTGTTCATCCAGCTCCTGGCCCACTCAGGTCCTGTATACATATTAACTTAAGGTGCAATAAATAACTAAGAGATAGGAGGGGAAATGGAGCCTCCTGCCCTGGCCAGGAAACCAGCGAAGGGGAAGAAGGTAGCCCCCTCCTCGCTTGCACTCACGCTCTCAGCCTCAGGCAGGATGCTCAACTGGCCCTCCCATCACCCTCAGGGCTATAAGGAAAGCAGGCCTGGGGAGGGGAGGACCAGCCGCTCCACACCCAGTTCAGGTGCCTGGGGTGCAGGGGACCAGCCCCTCCATGCTCAGTTCAGGTGCCTGCTGCTCAGTTGAGCTCCCATGCTCTCTGTCTTCAGGGTCACAGTTCACCAAATACGGCTGCCGCCGGAGGCTGGACCACAAGATGGTGCACCGTGGCTTCTGCGATGCCGTGGCAAAGCCCAAAGCCATCCGCCGTGCCTGCAACCCACAGGAGTGCTCCCAGCCTGTGTGAGTGCTGGGCCTACCTCATCTGCCGAGGTCCCATTAGAGGGGAGGGACAGGGCCCCTGGGGGCTCCTGTGGAAGGAGATGCAGTGTCTAGCACCCCTGAGCAGCTCCGGGGAATTTGAGGGACTCTTTCTGCCTCACCATACTTTATGGAGTTGAAGAGGTTGTAAGGAGTGTCCTAGCTCAGCCCTGCCAACCGCCAAGCTGGGATGTGCATCTTAGAAATGACAACAGATGGCAGTGCTCAGAGGGAGACCTGAGGCTCAGAGGGCACAGGAAGGACTTGCTCACCGTCCCGTGCCGAGCATTTCCTAAGCAGCTCAGGAGGTGGCTGTGGCTGGACCTGCAGCCTGGGGCTTAGCAGGCAGGGCTGCATTTCTGAGTCTAGGTTCCTTTCCAGGGCTGAGAGGGGAAGATGGTTGATAAATAGGCAGGTGGGGCTCTGGGGGCTGGGGAGCTGAGGGCATCCACACTCTCTCCAGGAGGGTCTGTGACATCAGCAGAAGGTGAACCCAGAGGGCAGGGCTGACCTGATCTTCAGGCCTGGAAACTCCTTGGCCACCTGCCCCACTACGTCTCCCAGGTGGACACACAGGGATTCATCACCCACAGGACCTGGGACAACTGAGCTGTAGTCTCCCCTCTGTTCAGGGGTGCAGTCTACTCAGCACCTTCTGAGAACTAGGAACGGTGCATCTTCTGGGGAGGAGGCTGCCTTCTCTCGTGGCTCTGGAGCACAGCCAGGCTGGCCCCTGGGGGCCACAGGGGGCTGACCATGCTGCTCTGCCCTGGCAGGTGGGTGGCAGGCGAGTGGGAGCCGTGTAGCCAGAGCTGCGGGCGGACAGGCATGCAGACCCGCTCTGTGCGCTGCATCCAGCCACTGCACGACAATACCAACCGCTCCGTGCACACCAAGCATTGCAACGACGCACGGCCCGAGGGCCGCCGGGCCTGCAACCGCGAGCTCTGCCCTGGCCGCTGGCGGGCTGGGCCCTGGTCCCAGGTAAGCAGGCCCCTGACCCCTGACCCCCGTAAGAGCTTGGCTCAGACTAAGGTGGCCAGTACATTCACTTTGGCATGAGGGCCTGGCTGTAGCTGCTGCCCTTGGCCAAATCCCCTTGCTCAGAGCACCAGAGGGTGGTCAGTGCTCTTTCGAGAACCCTGGTGAAATGTGGCCTCAGTCCCAGCAGACACTGTGTTCACTCCATAGGGCAGAGACTCCTGTGTACACCCCAGGAAACTGAGGGCAGCCTGGGCTTCAAGGCACGATGGGATGCTCAGGGCCGTGGTGTGCTAGGGGAGTCTTGGGTTCTCCATCTCAGAGGCTGGAGGTGTAGTCCAAAAGGCCAGTCCAACTTGCAAGTGGAGAGATGAGCAAGGGAGGACCTAGACTCAGGCTGGACAGAATAGTGAGGATGGATTGAGGGTCTGGAGGGCCAGTTACAGGGCCAGAGGCTGAGCAACAGCCAAAGCCAGGTCAAGGTCAGAGTTGACATTAATATGACATCCAGCTGACAGGCCTAGTGTGTTGGGGGTCCCTAAGACCACCCTCTGGCTCATAATTCACTAGAAGGACTCACAGGACTCAAAAGTTGTTATACTCACCAGTTGCCGTCAAGTCGGTTCTGACTCATGGTGACCCCATGTGTGTCAGATAAATGTGCTCTATAGGGATTTTAATGGTTGGTTTTTCAAAAGTAAATCACTAGACCTTTCTTCTGAGGTGCCTCTGAGTGGACTCCAACCTCCAACATTTTGGTTAGCCAGCTGAGTACATTAACTGCTTGCACCACCTGGGGATTCCTGTTACACTCACAGTTACAGTTTATTACAGAAAAAGGATAGAGAGTAGATATAGTAAAGGGAAAATGCACAGGGGGCAAAGTTCAGAGGAAACCAAGTGCAAGCTTCCAAGTGCCCCCTCCCAGTGGAGTCACAAGGGGCATCCTTAATTCCTCCAGCAGTGATGGATAGCAACACATGCCAAGTGTTGCCAACCAGGGAAGCTCACTCAAGCCTGGGCATCCAGGGTTTTATTAGGGGTCAGTCATATAAGCATAGAGCACCTGCATGACTGACCTCAGCTCCAGAACCTTGGAGTTTCCACAGGTGATCACCTGCAGGTATACCAGGAGGTGTTCACCATCAATCACATTGTTAGCATAAACTATCTGGACAAACTGGTCCAGCGTGGCTCAAAGCCTAAAGGATGCAAAAACACATCTCACACAGAATATTTCAAGAACTCAGTTCCCAGGTGCCAGCCAAGGGCCAGTTCTGCAAACAGATCTTTCTTGGGAATGTGCAGGGTTTGAGCAACCCAGGGCCTGCTGAGTTAACCCTTTCCTGCACACATGGCAACAACTTGAGGATTATCCTTGGGCAGGCCTAGGCAGCTGCTTTGGCCCTCTATAGTGTGGTGAGGCAGAGGGAGTGCCGGGGCAGTGATGGCATTGTGTCCAGACGGAGGTCTCTGCCAAGTCATCCTGAGATTGGTCAGTGCTCTCCTGGTGGCCACACTGCACAGCAGGTTTTCCTGGGCCTCAGGCCTCCTCCTGCCAGAGAGCTTAGAAGTGCCAGGCCCTGTGCTGAGCACCTTGTATTTGGTCTCTAACCTCACGATAACTCAGAGAGGGGGCCTGGGTGTTCGCTCTTAGGAGCCCAAGAGACAAAGTCAGCTAGCTGCCCAGGGTTGAGATGAAGCAGGGCAGGCCTCCCACCAGCTGCCCATCACCACCTCCATAAGGCTTTGTCCAGTTCTTCGAGGCCAAGGGCCTCACAGGGGGGTAACCCCTAATTGGCTGACTCTGCCCACCTGCAGTGTTCAGTGACCTGTGGCAACGGCACCCAGGAGCGGCCAGTCCTCTGCCGGACCTCAGACGACAGCTTTGGCGTCTGCCAGGAGGAGCGACCAGAGACGGCTCGGATCTGCAGACTTGGCTCTTGTCCCCGTAAGCACTCTGTTGCCCCGGGTCCCAGGCACGCAACAGACCCAGGGCAAGGAGAGGCTAGGGGTTGGTTCAGGCACATGCAGCTCTTCTGCTCAACTGGACAGACTGGGCGTCCACAAACTTGAAGGAGAGGCCAGGAAGCCCCAGGGCCAAGGCTGGGGCTGGGACCTTTCGGGATGGAGGCCAGAACATTTTCCTGGCTGGAAATGGAAGGAGTGGACATTTCTGTGCACAGTCTCAGGGCCAGTGAAGGCAGTGGAGATGGTGCTGACTCAGCCTAGTCTTGCCCTCCTGACACCTGCTGTCGGTCCAGAGACAGGATCGACTGAAAGTGCCAGCACAGTGGGACTCAGCTGAGGAGGGGGTTGCCTGTGTGAGTAGGATAGCCAGACCCTGTCTGAGTGCAGACACCTACCAAGTAGTGCCTCACCTCCTTTGGTCCCTGCGGCACCTCAGGATGTAGCTCCCACCACCATTGCCATCCACAGTGAAAGAAGGTGGGGGTGGGGGTGGGATCAGGTCCCTGCCCCACAGCTGAGAGAGTAGATCCAGGATTCATGCTGGCCTGCTTGGTTCCAGGGGCCTCACAAGTCCCCACCATGCTGCTCTGCACCTGTGTCCCTGACATGAGGCAGTCAGAGTTTTGCTTAGAGCTGGGGTCAGGAGGCTAAGAGGGTGGGGAACAGGAGAGGTAGAGGGAGGCTGTGGGGGCAGTGAGAGACTTACGTAGCTGAACCCCAGGGTGTGTGTGGGGGTAGGGGGAGGCAGGAGATGGCTCTGAGGAAGGGCCTGGATGCCACTCTGAGGAGCTGGGTGGGGTCTCTCCTGGGGCCCCTTCCAGGGCTCCAGGAGCTGTTGGGCAGCTCAGCAGGTTGGGGAGGCCCAGCCTTGTGCCCCAGCGGCTGCAGCCCTGTTCTCTTCCTTCCAGGAAACATCTCTGACCCTTCCAAGAAAAACTACGTGGTTCAGTGGTTGTCCCGCCCCGATCCCGACGTGCCCATTGCCAAGACCTCGTCAAGTAACCGGCCCGTTTATAACTCTGCCTCTGCCTTCCTCCTGTGCATGCCCTGCACCCTGTGGAGCTTGCCTTGGGCTACTCTCCTCTCTTTCTATGGAAAACTCCCCTGACTTTTCCTGAGTTCTTTCTCGGGTGAATCTGTTTCCTCCAGGGCCTCAGTGCTCGGCTATCTCCTTCGGAGCTTGTGCCTGGCGGCAGGGCTGGCTCCTCACAGAGGTGGGGCCTAGGGACACCAGCCTCTTGTGGGGGCTGGGACCTGGGCGGCAATGGCTTCTAAAGGGGCAAAGATCCGTTGTGGTGCTGGAGGTGCCCGAGGCCCGCGTGCAAACGTGACCCCTTTGCAATGGTGACCGCCTTGTGGCACCATGTCTCTCCAGGCTGAAGCTGCAGTTCGGAAGTAAACGGGAAGCGCCCCTCTTCCCTTTCAAACGGCGGCGACCGGTCAAGGCGAGGCCAAAGGGGGTCTCGGGGTGTGCAGTTGTGCGTTGAAGTGCCAGGTGACCCCACCCCGAGTTTCTGGCGGTGTGTCCGGGGCTTCCCTGCGCTGTCTCTGCCGCCGCCGCCGCCGCCGCCGCCGCCGCCGCCGCCGCTGCTGCTGACTCAATGCTGTTTCCTTTTGACTCGTGAAACTGTGGCCTGCTTCTGTCTGGCCTTTGCATCCACTTACACAGCCCTCTGGTCCCGGTTCCCTGTCCTCTCAGGGGTTCAGGTCAAACGGAGGAGGCAGGGGGACATGTGCCTCCAGTGGGAATCGGAAACACGCCGCCACTTCCACTGTCTGTCCATTAGCCCCAATGGCCTTTCTTCGTCCTGCGCACATTGACCCCATCCCTAGGGTTGCGAGAACGGGAGAGCGAGAGCTTGTCTCATGTGGATGTGGCTCACCTACCAGTGTGAACAACTACAGAATTACCTCAATTTTTATTGCTTTTTTGCTTAGAAAAATTATGTAGAAAATGCCTTAAAGTTGAAAGGTAACAGGATTGACTGTTCGCTCCAGAGTCAAGAGGGGGAGCTTGGAGTGAGCAGTACATGATCCGGGTTGGAGGGAGGCAGCAAAGATCTGGGGAATGGTCCCGTTCATCCACCTTTTAGGACAAAGTTGCCAAGGCCATATGGCCTTGCTCCTTCTGCTGAGCCGGCTGGGCGGAGACTTAAGCTCATCTCCAGAAAGCTCTGGGCACCCCAGGGCCGGTCGGCGCTGACTGTTGTGTGGAGCTCCCGAGGCTCCAATGGCGCTGCCTTAAACCAGGAGGGTGACGCACCTGGACCCTTAGCTGTAACCAATGTAGCACTTCCGACCTGTCATTCCGTCAGCCCCCCCCAACCCCCCCCCCAGCTGCCTCCCATCAGTATATATGGCATCCCTGCTGGGCCTAGTGCTGTGCCAGCCTCGTCACCCCCCCACCCCATGGCACTAATTACTGTTATGTAAATACTTGGTGTGTAACTGCATACTAATCCTCGTGACTGTTAACTTCCAACGTGGACCAGGCCATGGGAGGGACTTGCACGACTCCGGAGAAGGTGCAGTCTGGTCCTGGGCATTGTGCTGTCTATATGCACTTTGGTTTTTCAGGGATATTTTGTTAGTGTTTTGTATGTACTTGATGAGTATTATATAGGTTCCATTGTTGTTGCTTTTTTTTTTAATGAGACAATGTTCGTGTGTGCCAAAGTGACTGTGAAAATGACTTTTTTTTTTTCTAATGGTTGAAAGACTTCCTGTCATGCATCCCACAAATAAACTCAATAAAATTTCAGTAAAACTGGGTGTTTGGGTCTGGCAAGATAATGGCTGGTTCTCTTCACCTCATGGCTCACCATGCTGCAGAGCCATCAGCTGTTAAGTCTGGAGCACTAACAACTGAGTTTCTGATTCAAATAACTTTATTGCCCCACTCCCTCCCCCCAAGTAGATCTTTAGAGCCCCTCCCCAACTAAAGCATATTCCCCACCACCCTCGAGGCATTTTTAAAAAATAGACTTTATTTCTTAGAGCAGTTTTAGGTTAGGTTTACAAAAAAATTGTGCATAAAGCACAAAAGTTCCCATATATGCCCTGGCACACTGCTTTTCCTTTTGTTAACATCCTGCATTCCTTTGATCCATTTGTTACAACTGATGAAACAATATCAGTACCTTGTTATTAACTAAGTCTGGCATTTACATTAGGGTTCGCTTCTCGGGTTATATAGTACTATGGGTTTTGACATGCATAATGCCGTGTGTCCACCATTACAGTAGCATTCAGAATAGTTTCACTGCCCTCAAAATGCCCTGTGCTCCACCTGTTCATCCGTTCTCCTTCCCCCCGAGTCCCTGGCAACCACTGATCTTTTTAGTGTCGCTATAGTTTTGCCTTTCCAGAATGTCATATAGTTGAAATCATACAGTAGGCAGCTTTTTCAGACTGGCTTTTCCACTTAGCAATATGCCTTTAAGGTTCCTCCCTGTCTTTTTGTAGCTTGATAGCTCATTTCTTTTTATCACTGAATGATATTCCATTGTATGAAGGTACCACAGTTTGTACATTTTTCAGAATATACCAGCAACCTGTGAAGACGTTGCACCGCGATTTGGGGTTTTGAGTCATTAGTGCTAAGTGGGCACTTTTTGAGATTAATTCTCCTCGAGGTTCTCTCCTCGTAGGTGGGTGCCTTACAGCCAGGAAAAAAGCCCAGGAGGGGTTTCTCCTGGCTCTGGGGTCAGCTCCAGTGGAGACAGTGTTGCTCCAGGCCACTGTGCCCTGAGCCACTATCAGGCCATTGCCCTGGCACTGTTCTGAGCCTTGAGCTACCTGTTCAGGGAGAAAGAGGTGTCCCCCTGTCCCAGGTGAGGGCTGCACCAGCCCTAGGAGAGTCTGGGTCAAGAGCAGGACAAGGCAGCAGTGGACCCTGGAACCCGGCCTGCCGCATTTGTGCATATGTGTTCAGTCAGGCCTGCCATGTCCCTGGGGTCTGCTGTCTGAAGCCACAGGGCCTGTGTGTCCACTTACCTCGTTGACTATGAGCAGAGAGTGGCCCGTGTCCAACAAGGCCCTCCCGACCTGGGGCTTGTGTGGGTCCTGCCTGTGGGACCCTCTCTTCTCCTTTTTCTGTAGCACTGAGAAGGGGTGCCGTGCAGGGGAAGAGTAAGAAAGCAAGGGAGACCATGAGAAAGTACGACACATAGTGACCAGAGCCATGGAGATGGCTTGGGGCCTGGGCCATTGCTTAGGGCCAGCCTCTGGGGTCACAGTAACCTTGGCTGAGCACAACCTGCCTAGCCCCCTGGAGCTTAAAAGAAATCACAGCTTCAGAGGGACAAGGAGCCGACAAAGAACATGTGTCTGGCAGTACTTCATTCCACTCAGCATGCCTTCCGGGATGTATGTGTAGTGAGTACCCTCTAAAGGTACTCCCAGGCTGGAGCTGGAGACAGACTATCACCACCCCAGGATATTACAGGCCAGGGGACCTTACTGCCCAGGGGAAATTACAGCCAGGGGACCTCACAGCCCAGGGGACATTATAGCCCAGGAGACCTTACAGCCAGAGAACTTTATAGCCAGGGGATCTTACAGCCCAGGGGTCCTTACAGCCCAGGGGACATTATAGCCAGGGGACGTTACAGCCTAGGGGACCTTACATCCAGGGAATGTTACAGCCCAGGGGACATCCAAGGTGCCATGGAGGGCTATACAAAGGAGGTGGTGTTAAGTTTGATTGCCATCCACTTTGTTACCGTGTTGCATGACGTTTAGGAGGGTGAAATGAGTTCATGGGCCACCATCCCTTTATTAAGAAAAGAGAAGGAAGGATTCTCCATCTCAACATTTTCCAAAGTGGTCCCCTGATTGTAAGGTCTGTAAGGTCTGCATGGCTTTAAGTATTACTGAGTCACCCCTTCCTAATGCTTCTCATCCTTTATGATGACTTGGAGGGGAAAGCCCTACTTAGTGCCAGCTTTGGCATCTCTCAACACTTGCTCATTTCTCTCAAATGCAGCACTTGGCAGGCAAGAGTATCTACCTAGAATTTGATGAACTAAAATGCAATTTAAAAGTTGACTTAAATAAAATGACTTGAAACTTTACATTCATTTTTAAGGTTACCTTTAATTACCTCATTAGTTTTCCATGAATGACAGTAATATAAAAATCTTCTTTTAAAATAATTTTTAAGCTAAAATAGGAGTTAATTTAAAGAAAACTACTAAGCAAATAATACTCCAGTTAAAAAAACTAGCTGCCATCAATTCATTTCTGACTCATGGTTACCCTATGTGTGTTAGAGTAGAACTGTACTCCATAGGGTTGTCAATGGCTGATTTTTCAGAAGTAGATCACCAGGCCTATCTTCCGAGGTACCTCTGGGTGGACTCAAATTTCCAACCTTTTGGTTAGCAGCCAAGCACATTAACCATTTGTACCACCAAGGGATTCCCAAGCAAATAACATAAGTGGTATTCAAATATAGCCAAGATCTTGAGAGTGGCCCACAAATGACTTGAATTTATGAAAATTTCTTCTCAACGTTTTATTGTCATTCACTGGAAGACAATAGGTCTTTGTAGTTAATTGCTGCTGGAAATGGCTGAAGATCAAGTGTTACAAAGTGGAAATTTTTATCTTTGGTAGATAACCTTTGATGTTGAGTGACTCAGGCCCCATTATTCAGCCCTTTGGTGGTATAATTTGCATCTCACTCATCTTGGCGAGCTTTCTGATACTGCTATTACTTAAAAATATACAGACCATTGGTGTACTTGTAATATTCCTTTATGATCAAAGTGAGTGGCTGATAATGAATATTTTGGAATGTTTTCTAGGCTGATATTAGCATAGCCAAGCTCTTGAACAGTGGCTTTCTCAATTATTTATTCATTCATTGACTTATTTTAATCTTTAACAACTTAAAGCAAGAAAGCCCACTGTTCAAAGGTAATTGGACACAGAAGCCTAATATATAATGAGGTTGAGGGTAGCTCCCATGGAAGGGAGCCCAGCTCTCTGGGGC